AAAGAGCAGAGCCCCACCTAAGCTGTGGGGTGCAAGGAACTTACCCAGAGAGGCCATCAGTGAGAAGTTCTCCAGCATCACACTGTAGTACAGGAGTCTCTGGGCTTTATCAAGGAGTCCCCACTCCTCCTGTGAGAAGTAGACAGCCACATCCTCAAATGTCACTCGGCCCTGCCAAGATGGGGATGGTTCAGTTTATGTGCAGCCTCCTTCCCAGGACTCTAAGCATCTCCCCAAATATCCACCCTCCTCCCAAGCCACCAACCTCAGAGGACATCCCAGGCCCTGGTGCCACTGATGCCCACCCTCTGCTGGCCATCCCATCGATCACTGTGTTCAGCCCTCATCAACAACAGGCAGGGGGGCATGTGTCATCTGAGCCCTGGTGCTGGCCTGCAGAGCCTCACCCTTCTGCCAGTTTACCTGGGATCCTCTAGATTGTGCTTCCCAAACACAACCAAAACTGAGTCACTGTTCTCCCCTCAGGCCCCAGTCCAAGGGCCTGGGGCCATCAGTTGACACTCCCTCCCAACATTTACATCATTCTTTTTTTTTTTAATATAAATATATTTATTTATTTATTTTTGGCTGCGTTGGGTCTTCTTTACTGCATGCAGGCTTTCTCTAGTTGTAGCGAGTGGGGGCTACTCTTCACTGCGGTGCACAGGCTTCTTATTGCACTGGCTTCTGTTGTGGAGCACAGGCTCTAAGCAAGAGGGCTTCAGTAGTTGTGGAATACAGGCTCAGTATTTGTGGCTTGCAGGCTCTAGAGCGCAGGCTCAGTAGTTGTGGCACACGGGCTTAGTTGCTCCACGGCGTGTGAGATCTTCCCGGACCAGGGCTCAAACCCATGTCCCCTGCATTGGCAGGCGGATTTTTAACCACTGCACCACCAGGGAAGCCCTGTACATTGTTCTTTACACCACACCTCCCTTCACAGCCCCAACCCCTCACTGCCACCACCACCCACTACACCACATCCTGCATCTCCCTGGCCTCACCACGTGCCAGTGTGCAGGTGGCATCCTGAGGGTGCTTGGCAAGTGCAATCAGAATCCTACCGTCCCAGTGTTCCAAAGGCACTAACTGCCAGGGGCAACCCCCAGGCCTGCTTTGAAGGCCTCCTTACTTGGCCCTTATCCTTGCTTCATTGTCAGCCACCCAAAACGATGCACAGATATCAGGTACACGCATCCCTCTTCCACTTCTGTGTTGCAAAGCTGTCCCCTCATCAGTCTCAGCTTCCTCTGATACTTATTCAAAGCCCAGGTCCAGGGACTTCCCTGGTGGTCCAGTGGTTAAGACTCTGTGCTTCCAATGCAGGGGGCTCGGGTTCCATCCCTGGTCGGGGAACTAAGACCCCACATGTGCGCAGGGCGGCCAAAAAATTGAAAAAAGAAAAGAAAAGCCCAGATCCACCTGTCTCTCACATCAGGCCTAACAGCTGTCCCAGAGGACCCTGTGTGATCTTGTGCTAACCTCCAGGTCACAGTGGGGATAAGAACAAGAGCCTGGGGAGCCCATAGCTGGATGAATAAGCAATAGCACCGGGTTTGCTGTCATCTCCCTGCCTTGTCTCATATCCACTCCCCATGGAAACCCTGGCCACCAGCCAGATCCTCCTCACTCCTACAATGCCTCCCCATGGCCACTACGTTCCCTCATGTGTTTCTGTGAAGCCCACCACCCCATCTAGCAAGAGACCCAGTCCTCGGCCCCACACACTCCTCCCTTGTCACCTAACACACTGCCACAGGACCTGAAGGTGCCCCCTGCCAAATCTGATTGCAGTTCCATCCTGGTCCACACACCATCCATATTATGGGTGAATCCAATCTGAATGCTTCACCTGAACTCAAAATGTGTGTGTCTAGGTATCCACTGGATGAATCCACTCAAGAGTTCCTGGAGCATCTCAGTTCAACAGCCAAAACCTAGCTCCTAATATTCCCACTGAAAATTACTCTTGCCGCCGACTTCGACATGGTAGTACTAACCCTGCTTCTAGCTACTAAGGCCAAACATCTCAGAGTCACCCGACTCTTCCTCTTCTCTCTCCCACCCTCCACATCAGAAAGTCTGCTCAGACCTACTTAAAAAAAACAGACACAGACTCCAACATGTCTCCCACCTCCACTGCCACTACTCTGGTCTAGCTATCAACACTCACCTGGACTACTGCAGTAGCCTCCTCCCTGGTCTCCCTGTAACCCAACAGTCTTCTCTCTACTCTGCAGCAGAAAATGCTTGTTAAGCCTGGGTCAGATCAGTTCCCTCCTCTGCTCCAAACCTTCTATGGCTCCCACCACCCTCCGGATAGAGGCCCACCTCTTCAGCCCACCATTCCAGGTCTAACGCCTGCTTCCTGCTATTTCCACCAGACATAATGGAGACCTAAGGTTGCCTGGGCATTCCCAGCTCAACCTCACCTCTAGCATCTTCTAATGTTGACCACTGTGAATGGAATTTCTTTTAAGTGTCATGCCACTGGTTGCCAGAAATGGAAAACAATCTGTATAATTCCTGGTCTGGACTCAGGGACCTGACCTTGGATGACCACCTTCCAGGGATCTCAGATGGCAGGGTAGGGAAAGTAGCAGGTAGAGTCCCAAGACACTACAGTCCTGGAGCCCATGCAGGTGGGAGGTGAAAAGGGTGAAGATCGAGTATATCTTTCACTTACCTCTTCATGGTCTGCAAGTGATTCTGCAGCCACAGCAACCTATGGAAAAGCAAGGCTGTGAGAAGCAGGCAATAATGTTGGGCCCCAAAAGCTCAAGCAAGGTGCCTTACACCATCTGGGCCTCAGTCCTCAGTGATGCCTCTTACCAGCTGTGTGACCTTGGACAAATACTCGACCTCCCTGTGCCTCAGTGTTGTGGTCTGTCAAATGGAGATAACAATGGTGTCCACTCAGTGGGGCTGCTGTCTGCATCAAATGCATTCCTATGCAACAAGTTCTAAATATCAACTCTTATTGTCCTCATAAGTGATGCTTCTGTCAAGATTTCCTGGTAGGTATTAAAAATGCAGTTTTTTAACATGCCTTTTAACTAAGAAAATACAATATTGAAGATGTTTGATTTAATTGAATGCTTAGCAGTATATTGAAATTTCAACCAATTAAGTGTTTATAACCATTAACTTGTTAAAGCCATGTTATTTATTTGTTTTTTATATGTTATTTGTTATTTATTTGTTATTTAATTGTTATTTAAAAGCCATGTTATTTTAATTTATGGACATACATGTACATATATATGTATTTTTACCAGTTAGTGTTAAATGAGTATTTATTTCATAAATTCACGATTTAATAAACTGGGGACTTGGGCCTGAGAAAATTGAGTAGATACTAGTCCTACTGGCAACCTAACTGCCTGCTGTACACTCTCCTGAAGGGAATCCTGCTAGGGGCCTTTGCACTGGAGCAGCTGCTCATCCCTCCTGCCCTAAAAGCTGGGGGAACTTAGGCACCAAAGGAGATGCTCTACTAGCCTCGCTGAGTATTCTTTTTCTGCACAAGGAGTGGAAATGAGGGCCTGCTGAGCCTGGAGTGGCAAATCTACACCACTGAACATCTCAGTCTCCACCCCAGACCTGGGTCCTTATACCCTATAACCCTCCATTCCTGCACACACCAGCCAGAACCACTTTGGAGCACAGGACTCCACCCCTCTGGAGGCAGCCTCACCCTCCAGGCTTAACTGAAATAAAAACTTTGATTCTCCTTCCTAAATAGGACCCACAGTGCTTGCCCTGGTCCAGGCCACCACCCATCATCCCTTGGATATCTCCAGCCCAGATCCCTCCGCAGAACCCCATGAGTGAGTAAGCAAGCTACCCACATGACACCTCCACTCTGGGACATCTCAGGGTTACCATGTCCAAAATCCAACTCCTACTCTTATCCCTGAAGCCTGCTCCCTGCAAACCAAGAAACAGCATCGTCCTTCCTTCCCTACTTTTTCACAGCCACATCTGTGGCAGCAGGAAATCCTGTCTGTTCAATGTTTAAAGCCCATAAGAAATCTGATCAATCCTCCCCGCTGCTGCCACCAGCAATGGTCCAGTCCGCACCAGCACTCTCTATTAGTCTATTGTACTTACTTACTCACAGGTCTCCTAGTCTCCACTCTTATCACCCCCACCCCCGTCTGTTTTTCCCTGAGAAGGCTTTGGAAAACTTTGACACATAGATTGAGTCTCTCCACTTCACAACCCTCCGTGGCCACCAGCGGCCGCAGAATGAAGGCCCAGCTGCTCCGGCTGCCTTTTCACGTGGGACTCATCCCCTTAAGCTGTTCCGTGCAGACTCGAGAGAAACTTCAAGTTTAGGCCTCTCAGTTCGGTTATTGTTCCAAGTCTTTGATTGTGCCGGTCCCTCTGCCTGTAACTCTCTCCCACACCCCATTATACTGGCTGACAGAAATGGGGGACCCCTCCCCCAACGAGCTCCCTACTGACTTGGACCCAGGGGCTCGAGCAGGGGACGATCAGTGGGGCCTTTGGTGTCCGGTGGGGTGAGGGCGGTGAGAGACCGGAGGACGAGTGTTTACCTGAGCCGGGACTCTAGGCGCTGCCGCATCCATCGGAGTCTGTGGGCGGAGCCGGGCCGGGAGCGGCGGACCAGGTCGGGCCCCAGGCATCCCTGTCCCCGAACCAGAATCGGGTGATCTCCGGGCGCTGCTGCCCGAACGTCAGACCCGCCTCAGTGCAGTGCAGCGCTTGCCTCCTCTCGTGCCTTCCCGTTCTCGCCACCCCAGTTCAAAGCAGCTTTCCGGACCCTCAGACCAGGCAGAGAGACCCAACAGACCCCAAAACGACCGCCCCTAAGCGGACGCCAAAAGTCCCGCCCAGCGTGTTCCGCACGCGCGCGGAAATGTCTGTTTTCTTGGCCAAGCACAGCCACCGGGGAGAGCAGCGCCTGCTGGGTAATGTAGTTCACACCGCCAAACCTTGAGGAAGTGGACACGTAATAGGGGCGGGGTAGGCACGCAGCTGTTTGCACGCGCCGTTACAGCGCGACCGTTACCGGGCAACCGTTACCGCCAGAACGCTAGGGGTGACTGTTAGCGCCAGACTTGAGCGGGGCGGTTAGAGGTCCCGCTGGGCTAACGGTAGGACTGGTGGTGGTCCTCCAGAGGAGAGTGTGGTAAGAGACGGATCCCGGACTCCCCCGCCCCCAGGCCTTCTGGCCTTAGGCGGGTGGGTGAGCTGGGGGACCCTGGCGGGGAAGGCTGGGGGCTGTGTCCTGCAGAGCTCCAGAGCCCTTGCCAACGCCGCCCACTGGCGGGGCCCAGGCCTTGAGGCGACGGCAAACGTCTCCCCTCATCCCCACCCCCGTGACCTAGTGGTGGCGGCAGTCTGCATGGATCGCGGTTTGCAGAACCCTGCAGACATGCACACACACGTCCCACCAACCCGTTTGGGCAGCCTGAGGAGACCGAGTGCCAGTTGGGTCCTTGGTGCCTTGCTCCCCCAGTGATGACGACTGGGCAGGGTCTGTGGACTTGGCCCTGAGGGCACCGCCAGCTAAGATCTACCTCTTCACCTGACAGGGTAACTGGCCGGAGCAGGGACCCCCTTCTTTTAGCCAGTACCTGGACCTCAGAGGGTGAAACTTGTGCCTTGGGACCTTGCCATTTTTTGTCAGAACAGAGGATAAGAAATACAGGCCAGTCTTGTTTGGTGGAGCTTTACAGGAACACCGTTACCTGACCTCAAAAACAAAGGATCTGATACCAAGAAGTTTGCAACAACTAACCACGCCCCTCCCTCACCTTTCCTATAAAAGGTCTTTGCTGACAGCTTTCAGCGAGTTCGGGGTTTTTAAGGCATTAGCCACCCGTCTCCTTTCATCGCCCTGCAATAAGCCTTTTTCTGCTCCAACCTCCGATGTTTTGGTATTGTTTGGCCTCACTCTGTGTCAGGCACAAGGACTTTAGTTCAGTAACAGACAGAGCTGCAGAGATGGAGGTGGAGGGGAAATCAGGGTGAAGAACTCTGCCAGACTCTCATCTAGAGACTATCCTTATTGTAGATTGGCTTGTATTTTAATGTTCCTGCGCAGCTGGTGCTCCAGACTTTCCTTCCCTTAAGGATTTAAAGAGGATCTTGAGGGCCAATAAAGCAGTTTCCTTGGAATGAACCAGTTATACATTACCAATTTCCTTTGACAATGGGACGCCCAATATAAAAAAACAATGGTGGTAAAGCGAAGACTCTGAGTTCTGGATGTAGGTGATGAAATAGTCGAGGATCCCAAGTGTTCACCTTCCTTCTTCACCCCAAACTCATATGTGCCCTCTCCCTTCTTAAGGGCTCAGCATTGGTGTCCAAGCAGGACAATAAGCCTCAAACCCATAAGCCAACACTCCTCTCCCACCAGATTTCTCCCCTTCATCCCTTATTACTCTTTTTGTTCCACTACACTTCCATTTTGAGATACAAAGCTAACTCCCTGCAGGTGGGAAGGATGCTGTACCATTGTTGACACCAGGCAGCTGTTGATAAAAGAGATGCCAACACTTCATTTTGTGTTCTCCTACCACCTACTTTACCACTGACTCCTTCTTTCATGTCAATCTTCATTTCCCTGATTTTTCTCCTGTAAGTTTCATCTGTGGACTGAGCAGTGACCAACTTCATCACAGCTTTGGAATGACTCATGAGGGCAAAAGATGATGAAGACTTCACTCCTTCCTGGAACTTTCTGGAAGTGGGTGTTCAGTACTAGCTGATTCCATTGTATATATTCTTGCCTCCTTTGTCATAGAATAACTGACCATAAGTGCATGGGCCACCATCTTTTTCTTAATCACCAGTAAGCAGGGACTCAGGGGTTCTGTCACTGGGAAGGGATCTATATAGGTCTGTTCAGTTTCAAGACCAGTCTCCTCAAGGAGGCATTCAGATTACCCCTGGGTCGCCAATAATGAGGTGAAAATTGTCAACTCAGGCAAAGCCTCCTGTGGCCAGTGCCTTGGCGAGTGGATCCTCACAAAGAGATGGTGTGTCAAACTGACAGTCCCAGCTCACCCATATTTATAGCACATTATCTCCAAGACGAGATATTCATTTTGGGAGGGGGAGAGTTTCTAATGCCAACTGTGTCACCTCAGGTCAGCTTGGCAGGAGATCCCCAAAATGTCTGCCTCTTCTTATCAGCATGCATGGATCAGTCGTGGCTTAGTTACAGCAATGACTGAAAGTGAAGCCTCAGGAAAAAAAAAAAGTGAAGGCTCCTAAGACATGGAGTCAGCCTCCAGACAAGGCTTTATTTCATGCTTGATGGAACTGACACACAGCCTCAAAAGGCTCCTTCCAATTGTATACTTTATACACACAACACATCAGAAATCACACACATCACAAAAGGAGTCAATATTGGAGTTAAGAACATAGGATGATAGAAACCCAAGTTACATTAGTTATTTAGATCAGGCCCCAATGTGGCATGTAAATGGGAGGGAGGAGAGTCAGGAGATATAGTCCCACTGACAAGTGTGAGATGAGGTGCAGAGAAACTCCCCTGTTAAGCCAAGCACAGAAGATATGTGTCATTTTCTTGAAATCACATCTTGGAAGAGTAGATTCTGGATTATTCACCCTATCAATTACTGATGAGCTGTGGAAATGAGCTGACCACCATATCATGAACCTCTGTGGATAAATCTAACAAACATGTTACAGAATCTAGTCAGAAAAATTCATACATGGGCTTCCCTGGTCGCTCAGTGGTTGAGAGTCCGCCTGCCAATGCAGGGGACACGGGTTCGTGCCCTGGTCCGGGAGGATCCCATATGCCACGGAGCGGCTGAGCCCATGAGCTATGGCCATTGGGCCTGCGCGTCCAGAGCCTGTGCTCCGCAGCGGGAGAGGCCACAGCTGTTAGAGGCCCGCGTACCGCAAAAAAAAAAAAAAAAAAAAAAAAAAAATGCATACACTATGATACAATCTATGGAAAATTAAGACTTTGGCAATAAAAGACAGTCTATCGTTTAGGGAAGTATAGATAAGCAGTAAAACTATAAAGACATCAAAAGAATGATTATCAAAATGTCAGGTGTGGGGACTTCCTTGGCGGTCCAGTGGCGAAGACTCCATGCTTCCACTGCAGGGGTCGCAGGTTAGATCCCTGGTTGGGGAACTAAGATCCCACATGCCATGTGTTGTGGCCAAAAAATTAAAAGGAAGAAAATGTCAGGTGAGCTCTAGGGGCCCAGAGGAATGTGTAAAGGTAACAAGGGACAGGGGATGCCTAAAAAAATTACACGAGGTGAGTTTTATAGGTGTGGTCTTTGTAAAAGAAAAAAACAATTTATACATCTCATATGAATATCCCACTGAATGTATGACAGTTTTTAAAATTAAAAAAGCTAGGTAGACAGTTTGTTTATTTTTACTTTTTTGCATTTTAAAAATTTACTTTTTAAAATTTATTTTTGGCTGCATTTGGGTCTTTGTTGCTGTGCGTGGGCTTTCTCTAGTTGCGGCAAGTGGGGGCTACTCTTCTTTGCGGTGCGCGGGCTTCTCATTGCAGTGGCTTCTCTTGTTGTGGAGCACGGGCTCTAGGCACGAGGGCTTCAGCAGTTGTGGTGCATGGGCTCAGTAGTTGCGGTTCGCAGGCTCCAGAGGGCAGGCTCAGTAGTTGTGGCACACTGGCTTAGTTGCTCCGCAGCATGTGGGATCTTCCTGGACCAGGGCTCAAACCCGTGTCCCCTGCATTGGCAGGCGTATTCTTAACCACTGCACCACCAGGGAAGTCCCTATTTTTTTGTATTTTTAAAGTTTACTTTATTTATCTGTTTATACACAGCTTTGTTCCAGAAATTGTTTAAGGTACCTTAAAAGAATCCACAAAATACACCAAGGAATTAGTAACAGAAGAACCAGGAATAAAACATGTACAAAATGCTTATACGACTCTACTCATTTACTCTGGGTGGACCACAAATTTGGCTCTAAGCTTTTTAGCAGGCAGTCAGAAGACGAAACTTAATTAGTTACATCATTTACAGTGTCCATAAAACAAAAACACCCAATTACCCAAGCAAAGCTCTGTTATTCCTAATATTAAGACCAGAAAGAAATTTCTCAAGAGGCTTCATAAAGAGGTCAGCGTATGATGTAATAATCAGTGTTCTCAGTAGCAACCTAATGGGAGACTCAGAGATGAACTTCTCAGGGCTCTTTCTTCAATATATGCAGATGGCATCACACCAACTTGAAAATCAGGAAAAGCAATTTTATCATGAGTTTGAGGCTTGAGGGACGAACACAATGTGATCCGGTCAAAGTACTCAGCTCTGTGCTCAGCAAAACCACACTTAAATTTTAGAAAACCAGAGTTGAGTCCAGTACCCAGAATGACTCCAGAGAAGTCATGAAAACCCTAAAATTCTGTGTAACATTTTGTTTTTCTTTTTGGCTGCACCGCGGCTTGTGGGATCTTAGCTCTCCGACCAGGGATTGAACCTGGGCCCAGGGCAGTGAAAGCGCAGACTCCTAACCACTGGAGCACCAGGGAATCCCCTATACAACATCTTCAGAATAGTTGTATTTATTCTTCTTGACAGAAAACATAGTTTATCAGAAACTCTATGTACCCAGTTTGTACCCAAAAGTTAGGACCCATTTCTTTAGACAATCTTGAGAATTAAACAGACTACAAATCATTCATACTAGTCAGATACTTTTTCTTTTTTAATCACAACCTAGCTTTTTTTCTCCTCTGCAAAAGAACATTCTTTGTTTCTATTTAGCACCACGGCTCAGGTGAAGGTTTCAGGGTGGTTAAAAACTTGCTTCCTGGCTGAAGGAAGAGGCTCGGGCAGAGATCTCGGAGGAGGGCGGAGGCAGAGGGGTCCCGCAGAGGCCGCTGGGCTCCGGAGGCTCCTAGTTGTGCTTGCAGGACAGCCTTTGGAAGACACTTGCCCAGCCCAGCCTGGGGGGCCAGCCAGCCTGCGCAGGTTGGTCAGATGGTCACCCATCTTCTTGAGGAGCTTCGTCTCCTCTTCCAGGAAGCGGCTCTCCAGGAACTCACAGAGCTGGGCGTCTGAGGCTCACAGAACCCAGGGCATGCAGATCCAAGAGGGCCTGGTTCAGGCTCTTCTCCAGGGCTATGGCGGCCTCCATGGGTCCACACTGGCGCTCCGCTCGTTCGGGGACAGCTTCTACTCGTCCTGGACCAGGGTGCAGTTGTCCCACTGCTTCCACATCTTCAAGAGAAGCTGGGCACCTTCTCGCTTCTCCTCAGCCAACTCCTGAAAGAAGCAGCCCACACCCTCCAGAGCCACCTCGTCAGCTTCAGAGTAAAAGCTCAGGGAGAGGGAGGTGGACGAGGCCTGCAGGTGCGGGTTAATCAGGCAGCTGACGGCGGCCTCCACCTCGGCATAAGAATTCTGCTATATCTGGTTGCTCATGGTTAGCTGTGAGGAGGACTCTCTCCACAAAGTGTGGTGTGAAGCTGTAACAGTTTAATTTTGTCACAGGAATAGATAAATGGATGATCTCAACAGACAAACAGCTTCAAATGGGTGTGGAATTTGAAATAACTTGATTAATGAGAAAATAACAGACTAATCATTTAGTTTAGGTAAAATGATTATCTACTGTCTGAAAATGTACCTCGGATTTGTTTTAATCAGGTATGGTAACAGACACAAATAATTTTCATGAAGGAAGAAGATTACACACAGACCCCTAGAAACAGGAGGCAGGGCATGCCATGCAGGGCCACATGGGGAAGCACCAAGGTGGATCATGAGGCAGAAGCGGGAGGGGGAGAGCATGTCCCAGAGCCTTTATTGGAGTTGTCATGAAAAGGAATGGGTGAGGCTGAGTAGGTACACCGAGTAAGGCTAGGATTGGATACTTTGAATACTTTCACCAGACTCTGGGCTAAAGGAGTAATCAGTAGGACTCCACAGCTGTTACTCCTTCTGTATGAAATCCACAACTCCGTTCCTGAAAGCTGTCGATATTTTGTTTACTCCATAAAGAAGAAAGAGGCCTCCACTCACCTGCAGGAGAGCACTAGAGCAGAGAGCATGGGCTATGTGTCTGAGTCTACCTCAGATTGGCTGTGTGGGACATCAGGAAGCTGCTATGCCTCTCCTGGATTTTGTCACCACATATATTTACAATGAGGCTGACCACAGACAGGGCAAGGTTGTGCATGATCAATGGTAACTGATGATGGGAAGTGTGTTACTAACCCCAAAGCTAAATTTTGGAGGGTAGGTAACAGGGAAGACTGAGATCTTTGCCCCTTTGGCCACCGATGTGCTTTTAAAAAATTTTTTTTTGGATGCACTGCACAGCATGTGGGATCTTAGGTCCCCAACTCGGGGTGGAAGCCACGCCCCCTGCACTGGAAGTGCAGAGTCTTAACAACTAGACTACCAGGGAAGTCCCATACCGGTGTACTTTTGGTCCACTCAAATTTGCCAAATATAAGCTGATTTGTTTTGAAATCACCTTCTGTCTGATGTGTGGAGCATGAGCTGAGGTAGAGCAAGAACTAATGGTGATACAGGGTGGAGGCTGTTTTGTAGTCCAGAAATGTACTGTTGGTAGACCGGCCCAAGGGGGTGGAGTTGGAGGTGTTGGGAAGCAGATGTGACAGGACATGTGGATGGTTGTGATGACAGAGCAAGCCTCAGGCAATGAGAGTTATCCCCCTCAAACACTCTGTATCTGTGGGCCGGCAGGGCTTTTCCTGTTCTGGTTTCTTGGTCAGTGCCCAGGAAAAACATGTTTAGGGAATAAATAAAGCTGAAGGCTAATATTTCTGGGGCAAAGAAAAGGCAAGACTTATCCCTGTCCTCATGTCAGTTCCCTGGGCAGTTGAATTTTCCATGACCTCATTTCTCCAACATAGAAGGGGCCAGATAGATGACATTGGATTGGAGGCTGTGTTGGGCAGTGGTTAAAGCTGTGGCTCTGTGGGCTCCATTCCCAGATGTGCTACTTAACAGCCATAACGGAGAGTAAGTCATAGACCCTTTGCTGCCTCAGTTTCCTCATATTAACCAAGGTGACAAATCCACCTCATAGGACTAGTTCCATTTGTTTTACTACTGTTTTTACCATTCTATTGATCATTTATATTCCAAATTTTTCCTTTCTAGTTTGAAAAGTATATTCTGGTTGCATTTATAATATTTAAGCTAAAAATTGCAAAAGCTTATTTAATACATTTGAGTATAGGGTTAGAAATACATTTATTCCTGATTGGAAATATAAGGGATTCAGAACATTAAGCAACTAGCCTCCTCTCAATGTATATGTTCTGAGGTTATACATGGAATTCCATCACTTTAACTCTATAAGGAGACATATTCATGTTTTACACAGATAACGAGCAGTTATTTTAATCAAGAGATGCACACTTCTCTCAATCCTCATTCCAACTCTCTTTGCAGAATTTTTGTCTGGATCAGCCTTCTTTGTACCTGAATATTATTTTCAGTTTAGAAAATTATGTTTAGAATTTTATTTTCTGTGGGTTTGTTTTCCATTACAGTCGTCATGTTTATCCTCAAATAGTCTTACATCACACTTTCTTAAAAGGCATTTTTACTGTGTATAGAAATTTAGTATGGTAGTTATTTCTTCTGCACAGAAACAATTCTTATTGTCCTTCTAATTGACAAGTGACATTTGGTAAATTACCTTTGTCGATGGAAAATAATCAATAAACAATCTACAATGGGAATAGAAAAGAGGTTTTTTTGATCCAAACTGAGGACTATAGCCCAGGAGACAGCTTCTCAGATTACTCTGAGGAACTGCTCTAGAGAAGCATGGTTTTGAGCACAGTTTTATATCTTGTTATAATAAGGAACACCAAACAAGTCAGGAATACACTCCTTCAACGTTTCAAAAAAACAAAAACAGATCAGCACATACACAACTCAGTATGGCCTTGTCACCTGGGAAGAAAGTCTTGTGATCAAAGGAGTACTAGCATCGGCATCCCTGGAAGGGAGGCCTTTAATCTTTATCTTTAAAATGGACATTCCTTACTTCTGGTCAATGTGCCTTTTTCTTTAATAATTAAAGCAGATGTACAGTGCATATTTGGCCACAAACAGGCTGTTTTGGTTAGCCTGAAGTTCAAGTTAAATTATATATAAGCCAGAATGACTTCCCCATACCTTAAGAAGTGAACATTCCTTCCGTCACTTTTCAGATCTTTGTAAGATATCTAAAGGAATTGAATACATCTGTGTATACAGAGTGACCTATTTCTGTAATAGGGGCGGGGCAGGCGCTAGCTATAGCAGCCCCCCTCAGCCGTTGGTCAGCACCGCAGTGGGCCCCTCCCCCTCTTTTGTAAAAGGAGCCGGAATCCGGACTGAGGGATGATGGATTTTTTTGAGATACCAGTCTGCCTTATTCTGGGTCTGCTCGCTTTCCGAGTAAAGTTACCCCTTGCTCCAACAGCTCGTCTCTCAATTCATTGGCCTGTCGTGAGGCGAGCAGAACGAGCGTGGGCTCGGTGACATTTCTTGTAAAAAGTATTACTCCCTGGGTTAGACACAATCACTGATTATAAAGGCAGGAGAAATATTTTCTGAGGTACCCAGAGACACCAGCATTGTCCACCTGTTCATCAGTGTCCCACATCTCTATTGCACTTAACGTGGTGCCCGTGTCTGGAGTCTCTGCTCTTGTTCCTGATTCTAAATGCTGAGGCCCACACAACTAACCCAAGCGCTTCGCACTACGTTGTGTATATTTGATAACAAATACTATTTATTAGCTTCTAGCTATGGAGGTCTGAGCGACATTAGTATATGGTGTGTGCATTTGATTTTTCTCGTGAGCATTCTCTATGTAAAGAAGCCCCAAAAAATATGTTTCTGAACATTTTTGTGATGTGTTACAGACTACACTCACCGGAAATATGGGTGCGTCTCCTTTAAGAGGAAGCAACGCTCCGCCTAATCCTCAAACTAAACGAAGCAATTTCTAGGCGCCGCTAGCTAGGTGGCTCCGCCTTTGACCTGGAGGTGGCGCAGGAGTCCCACTCCATCGTTGGTGCTGTGGGAACTATATTACCTAGGAGCCTTGGCAGCTCTGGGCCAATGAAGGCCCAGTAAAGGGGCGTTTCCGTTCGTTCGGAGGACGCCTGGGCGGGACTTCCTTTTCCGTTGTTGGGCGGACATTTTGTTTACTTTCGGATTAGTCCCCCGAGTCAGTCTCCGGAACGCGGCGTCACACCCGAGGTGACAGGATAGGGAAAACGCGAGAGGCGTTGTCTGCCCTAAACAGAGACGGACCTGAGGATCGGCAGTGGCACCGCTCAGGTGACCCGGCCGCCTGAGCCCGGGACCTCTCACCTGTCGCTCTCCAGCTACTCCCCTCCCCCTCGCCCTCCCCGGTCCGCAGGTGCCGATGGCGGCCGCCGTGCTGACGGACCCGGCGCAGGTGGGTGCTGCACCCCTGGGTTGTTCCCCCGACTTCCATCTCTGAATCCTGAAGCCTCGAATGAGGGACGCCTCAGGTCCCTGCAGCTCAGGACCATGTGTCCAGACAGTGGGGGCTCTCTTGGTCGGGTCCCATTTCTGACAGCCAGCATGATGGGATGTGGAAAGATGTTACAGGCGAGGGGCCAGCATGTGCAGAGGCTTGGAGGTGCGACACAGCCAGAGCATTTGGGAAACCTGGGGCCTTTGGTGTCTGAAAAGATCAAGAGTCCGAGCAGCTGTGCCTCAATTCTCAGGGTGATGGGAGCTACGGAAGGTTCTGAACAGAGAGGCAATATCTGATGGTTTCAAAAGTATTCCGTAGACTGCCCAGGTGTGTACAGACTTGAGGTGAGGGTGCGGACAGTGGGCCCTAGAAAGGTTGAGACATAGTCCAAGGCAACACAACTGGTACGTGGCCCTGAGGACTGAGACTCAGAGGACAGACAGCCCCAGGTCTGTGGCAGGGCAGGAGTAGAAGATAGGCCTGAACCCTTGGGCCTCTTTCGTGGTTGCTTGTCTCTCATAGTCTCTCTCTTACCACAGGTTCCCCTGATCTCAGTAGTAATTATGGGCTTTATAGAGGTGAGGGGAGGATGTCCAGGCTCTCATCGATGCCACCCCCACCCATGAGGGCTTCAGGATTGTGGTGTCGTAGAACACTTTACTTTTTTTAAAATTTATTTATTTATTTATTTATTTATTTTTGGCTGCGTTGGGTCTTCGTTACCGTACGCGGGCTTTCTCTAGTTGCGGTGAGCGGGGGCTACTCTTGGTTGCGGTGCGCAGGCTTCTCATTGCAGTGGCTTCTCGTTGCAGAGCACAGGCTCTAGGCATGCGGGCCTCAGTAGTTGTGGCGCACGGGCTCAGTAGTTGTGGCTCGCGGGCTCTAGAGCGCAGGCTCAGTAGTTGTGGCGCTTGGGCTTAGTTGCTCTGCGGCATGTGGGATCTTCCCGGACCAGGGCTCAGACCCATGCCCCCTGCATTGGCAGGTGGATTCTTAACCACTGCACCACGAGGGAAGTCCCGAACACTTTACTTGTACTCTCCCAGCTCTTGTGTCTGAGGACCCTGGAGAAACCCCAAGCCCAGGGTTCTGAGTCTAGACCAGGGGTTACATGCAAGGTTTCCCGTTTTCTGGTGACCACTGGAATAAGGTGTGGAAGTTTGTTCCAGGAACAGGAACCAGCATGTGCAAATACTTGAAGGAGAGATTGAGGTGGGAGTTTTCAGGAAACTACAGGTCTCCACCATATCTGGTAGCAATCAAGAGCAGGTGGGCAGGAGTCAGACCTGAAATGGCCAGCTGACAAGCGAGGCCTCTGTTCTGAGGGTGGTGTAGCCATGGAGCAGAGGAGGGAGGTAATCTGATCCAGGTTTTAACAGCCTCCCTCTGGATGCCAAGTGGAGAACAGACTGTGTGTGGTGACGGAAGAGGGAATTAGGATAGAGACAAGGAGACCGGGGAGGAGGCTGCTTCAGTATTCCAGGTGAGTGGTAATGGATGGCTCAGAGGGCTGGCTCTGTAGATGGGAAAAGTGACTGGGTCATATTTTCTGATGTGTGAAAGAGACAGCCCCAAGATGTTAGGCCTTATCAGTCAGAAAGGTAGAAGCTCCATCAGCTGAGATGGGCAAGTTAGTGGTAGAAGTAACTCTACATGGGTATCAGGAGTTTATTTGTGGCCATGTGAAGAGTCTGAGATGTTCCAGAAAACACTGAGTGGAGGTGTCAAGTGAGCTGCTGGACACAGGGCTGAAGTCCTGTGGAGGGGCTCAGGATGGAGACATCCAAAAAGCAGAAGATGGTGTGTACATAGGTTTACAAGGGAGAATCTACACATCACAACGGCATTGCAGTTAATGAGCCAGATAGGTGATGGTGGAGGCCAACAACTGGGTGGGGGGCCAAGAGTTGTGAGATTGAGAGTGATCCAAAAGACTTGGTTGCATGTGGCAAAGGAGTATGAACTGATGGCCCTTGGTCCCTGGTGTTGGGGACTTATGGGAGAAAGATGAGCCCAACTTTGGTTGTCTGGTAAGCATGGTCTTAGCAACTCCAGGAGAACTGGCTAGAAGGACGTGGGTGGGGATGCAGTGCGGCCCCACATGCCAGCCCCAGAGCTTAGATGGCGCCTTTCTGCCCACCTGCCTATTGTTGGTGTGTGTAGACACCGTGATCAAAGGGACCTTAAGGAGAGAGCAGACATATGTGGCACCCGGCCCTGGTATTTCCAATGAGTTGATGACCTAGGTCGGAAGGAATGCTGAAGGGAGCTCTGTGGGGGCAAGATGGGGGTCCTTAGGAGAGAGACTACTCACAGACTTGGCTCTCCCCATTGTGGCAGGGGAAAGTGAACTTTGAGGACGTGTTCGTGTACTTCTCCCAGGAGGAGTGGGGGCTCCTTGATGAGGCTCAGAGGCTCCTGTACCGCGAAGTGATGCTGGAGAACTTTGCCCTTATGGCCTCACTGGGTAAGGCCCTCACATCCCCTGCAGTGTCCTGGGCTCTCCCCCTTCCTTGTTTTTTCTATCAGAGCCATAGGCATTACCTCCCTCCTCCGTTCCCTAGGGTAGGTGCTGTGGATGCCAGGTGTGAGCTTTGTGCACTAGCACCTCTGACTTCTGAGCAGTCCCAGTACCTGCTGCCCTGAAGGCTTACATGGATGGATGCAGGCATGAAGCATCCTGCTGTCACCCAGTGGATCATCTCCAGTTTGTTCTTTCCCTGACTGGGTGCCTCTGTCCAGATCCATGCCATCCCTGTGCCCCAGGTTCTACCCCCTTCCTCTTGCTGACATTTCTAGTAGCCTGCCTGTGTCAGGAATTGCAAGGACCAGTATGGTCTCTACTTATTGGGACCACTAGGCTATTCCTGCAAGACAGTTCTTCAGAGTTATTTTTATAGTATTTAGTTGTCTTCTCTGAGGGGTGGGTCACCCAGACCAGTGCTGGCCATTTACCTGTCTTTTCCTTAGGATATGCATCTTCCATGTTCCATGGGATTGCCCCACTGGAGCTGGACAGTGAGCCCTGGCTATCTGAGTGGGCCAACATGACTCCAGCCATGACCAGAGAGGCTCAGGGTGGGGGTGGCCCTGGTGAGTGGGAGCTGGGGAAAGGTGTGATGTCAGGCTGGGTTCTAATCATTCCCCAACCTCTCTGTGCCCATAGTTGTTTGAGTGCCAAGGCCAATGGCCACACTTCATTCCTATCTTTACTTTCCCATTTACACACTTACCTTTTATGTTCTGACCTTTAGCCTTTGACTGTTCCCCACCTCTGCCCACATCTCAGCTGTTCCTCTCCACTGCTTTCCAAAACTGGCTTATATGCTTAATGTGTCATGAAATGTGCACATACCTCAAATAGTTCTTAAATACCACCTAGTCTATTTGATTGTAGCTATTCAGGGAACACACCCTTCTGTACATTTCCCTAGCAGCCAAGGCCTTGCTAAAATCCATTTGTGGATGACTTCATTAGACACCCTGTTCTTCCTAGGCTGTTCCCCACATTTGTGTCCTCTTCCCATCAAGGCCACTTCCATCCTGTGACCTTTAGATGCCAACTACTGCATAGCAGCCCTTTACTCAACTTGAGTTCTGGCCTCTTGTCTGATAGCAGACCTTCATGTTAGTTCTGATAGATACACATTTGTAATGAGACTGCCCCTTCCCACCAGTGTCAATGTGTCCTTCACCAGCATTTGTCTGCTTTCAGGTTGTTCGCATGGAATGGAGGAGGAGGAGATACATTTTGAGCAGAGCGTTTCTGTAAAAGGAGTGTCACAGGTCACGATTCCTAAGACGATTCTGTCTTCCCAGAAGGCCCACCCCTGTGAGACATGTGGCCCGATCTTGAAAGATGTTTTGTGCTTGGCTGAGCACCAGGAAACACACCCTGGGCAAAAAACACACATGTGTGTGGCATGTGGGAAACAACTCTGGTTCAGTGCAAACCTTCACCACCAGAAGCAGCACAGTGGAGAGAAACACTGCAGAAGGGATGAGGGTAGGGCCTTTCTTGTGAACGGCTGCTCTGTCCAATCATTGGACATGCCCCTTACCACAGGGGAGGGTTGTAAGGACTTCCCAACTAGCTCAAGCATATTCCAGCACCATGCCCCTCTTAGTAAGTGGAAGCCACAAAGTAACACCAAGTGTGCAGAGGCCTTTCACAGTGGACAAAGGCATTACAAGTGCAATGAATGTGGGAAAGCCTTCAGCCGCAAAGACTCACTTGTTCAGCACCAGAGAGTCCACACTGGAGAAAGGCCTTATGAGTGCAGTGAGTGTGGGAAAACCTTCAGCCGCAAACCCATACTTGCGCAGCACCAGAGGATCCACACTGGAGAAATGCCTTACGAGTGTGGCATATGTGGGAAAGTTTTTAATCATAGCTCTAACCTTATTGTACACAAGAGAATCCATACTGGAGCAAGGCCTTACAAATGCAGTGAATGTGGGAAAGCCTACAGTCACAAATCCACACTTGTTCAGCATGAGAGTATCCATACTGGAGAAAGGCCTTATGAGTGCAGTGAATGTGGGAAATACTTTGGTCACAAATACAGACTCATTAAGCACTGGAGTGTTCATACTGGGGCAAGGCCTTATGAGTGCATTGCATGTGGGAAGTTCTTCAGCCAAAGTTCCGACCTTATTGCACACCAGAGAGTTCACAATGGCGAAAAGCCGTATGTGTGCAGTGAGTGTGGAAAAGCCTTTAGCCACAAACATGTGCTTGTTCAGCACCATAGAATCCACACTGGAGAAAGGCCGTATAAGTGCAGTGAGTGTGGGAAGGCCTTCAGGCAAAGGGCTTCCCTCATCAGACATTGGAAAGTTCATACTAGAGAAAGGCCTTAGGATAGCAAGGAATATGCCATAGTGGGTGACACCAGAGAGAAGCTCTGAGAGTAGCCTATGTGAGTAGCCATCAGCTGGAAGATGAGTCTCATACATTTGAACTCCCACCCTGAGGAGATTCTTCTGTGTGCCAGCTATTTGGGAAGGTTTCTGGAGCAATATTGCACTTTGTAACATGCCTTTGTTCACTGTGAGAGGCCTCTGCACACTTGCCAGAAGCATATCACTGCCAGTGTCTCTGAAAGAATCCATATGTCTGTGCAACAGCAGGGTGCCACATTGTGTGTAAATCACCCCAGCGTGCTTTGATGGGCAAGATCTCTGCTCTTCCTCCCTTCCCTGGAGGGAATCATCGGTAGCCTGAGCCCATTGAAGATCCTCACTCCTTCCTGCCCCCCTACTGGTTAAGCGTGGATGTGACCCAATTTTGGCCAGAAGAACGTAAGCTTTGTTCTGCTGGCTGCTTGCAGAGATTTCCATTTTTCAGACTTTATTGGTCTCATGTGGCACTCGTGATGGATTTGTCCAGCCCCCAAGTCACCTAACTTGGGAATTGTCTGCCTCATATTCTGGGTTTGCAACAAATACCTTAGTTTTTAACTACTTTTAATCCTGGGGATTCTGTTCACTTTGTGGGTTGAGTTGAGAACAGAATTGGGCTCTGCCAGCCTGAAAGAATGAACAGCTTGTGTGAGAGGTCCAACTGTTGTGTCTCAGTGGTATTTGCAGAATGGTGAAGAAAGAACAGCTCTTATTCTAGTTTCAGCCTAATTTGCATTGCTACTCAAGGCCTCCTAGGAAAGAATACCAATCTTTGCAGGTCTAATCGTGTGTCCTGTATGCCAAGATTTGTGTGACCAAGGTCTTCTTGAGCAATGGGCATTTGTCATGACAACTTCTGATGTTCCTGGGAGAAGCATGAATTGGGTCCCTTGTTCCCAGGGAATGCTTCATATTCCCCAGCCCTCTTTAGGAGAGTTTGATTCCCTGGGACCTACCAGCATCCCTGAAATCTATTATTTGGTAGGCAAATGTCACTGTCCCCTAAAAGGACATCTGATAAATAGGAAGTTGTGAGACTATAGCCAACTATAGGGAATATAACTCTTCTAAAGGCATATCCACAAATGTTTCCATCACTGTGACTTTGGTATGAGGGTTTATGGAACTTCTCAGGACTCATATTTGTGTCTCATAATCTTACGGCTACAGTTAACAGTCTGAGCAATCTAAACATTTTCTGCAATTAATTGCACATATTTATAGTGTATAATTTGATACGTTTCGATACATGTTTGCACCTTTGAAACCAAGTTTCCTGATTCCTTTTATAATATCTCTCGCCCTCACCCATTCCCAGGCAACCATTCATTTTGCTTTCTGTCATTATAGATCTGTTTGGATTTCCTAGAATTTTAAATGTGTGTGTGTGTATAGAATAATTTAAAAGGTACTAGTATGTATATGGCTTTTCAAACTATGCATAATTATGTTGTGGTTTATCAGTGTTCTGTGTATCAGTAATTCATTCTTTTTCATCCATACTTTTGCTTAAAGTATTCCACTTTAGAGAAACAGTTCCAAAGCAAGTGACCCAGGAGAGAACTCACGGGAACGAAGCCACAGTATCTGTGGCTCATAACCTTCACCTGGAAGTGTTGTGCCATCGTTTCTGACTTACTCTTTGGGTAACACAGACTAATCCTTGTTCAGGGTGGAAGGGGACTCACTTCACAACAGTGAAAATACAAAGAGGTAGGGATTTGTGGGAGCATTTCTTGAATACTGGTGACCACAATCATAGTTGTTTTTCTTTCTTTTACCTTTTTAGTCTTAATGAGGAATCATATTGACTGATTAAACCAACCTTGCATTTCTGAGGTAAACCCCATTTGGTCATAATGTACTACTATTTTATGCATTGTTGAATTTATATGCTGGTTTTCTTTTTTTTTTTTTTTAGAGTTTTGCATCTATGCTCATGAGGGATGTTAGTCTCTAATCTTTTTAATGCATGGGTTTGGTTGCTATCAGTGTAATGCTGGCTTTACAGAATAAGTTGGTTAAGTGTCCCCTGCTCTTCAATTTTCCAGAAGAGTTTGTGAAGAATTGACATTATTTCTTTATTAGTTGTTTGGTGGAATTCACTGGTGAAGTATTTGGGCCTGGAGTCTATTTTGTGGGAAGGTTTCTAACTATAAATTTAATTTCCATAGTGAACATAGGTTTATAGAATTTATCTTTTTTTTCCCCCTACAGTGAGCTTTGCTGGTTAGTATCTTTCTACAAGAGTTCGTTTATTTAAGTAGTCAAATTTTTCAAGCTATCCTTTTATTATTTTAGTACCTGTAGAATCTGTAGTGATGCCACCTCTCTTATTCCCAACACTGGTAATGTCTATATTTCTCTTTTTTTCTTCATCAGTAGTTTATCAGCTTTATTGATCTTCTGAATGCACTTGATTTCACTGATTTTTCTGTTTTTTCCTGTTCCTTTTTTTCCCCCCCATTTTGACTTTTATCATTGCCTTTTGCTTTTATTGTATTTCATTTCTGTTCTTCTGCTACTTTTTAACATAGAACCTGAGATCCTTCATTTGAAACTTTTGGGTTTTTTCCTAACATAGGTGCTAAATTCTAAAAGTCACTCTGTAACAACTGCTTTAGTTGCCTCCCACAAAACTTTATATGTTGTATTTTCATTTTAATTACATTTAAAATCTTTTCTGGTTTCCTTTTAAATTTCTTCTTTGACACATGGTTCTTTTTAGAAATGTGTTATTTGGGATTTTCCTTATCTTTTTGGTAATTGATTTCTAATTCATTGCAGTCAGAGTATATACTTTATGACTTGAATTATTTACATTTATTGATATTTTCTTTATGGCCCAGAATATGGGTTATCTTGTATTTCATGTTAGCTTAAAATAAATGTATATTGTGTTCTTGTTTGATGGAGAGTTCTACAAATGTCAACTCGGTTAAGACGGTTGACAATGTCTAAGTTTTCTATATCCTTACTGGTGGTGGGTGGGGGGTAGTATTCTGTCAATTATTTGAATAAGGTTGTTGACATCTCTGAATATAAAAATGAATTTGCCTATTTCTCTATCAGGTTTAGTTCTATCAGGTTTTGCTTTGTGTATTTTGAAATCTTTTTACTAGGTGAATAAACATTTCCTATTGTTCTTCCACTTAATGAGTAGACCTCTTTTATCATTAAGAAAGGGTGCTCTTTATCTATAAGAATATTCTTTGCTGTAAAATCTATCTTGTCAGATACTGTTAACATTGTGTAGTTTTGATTGAACACTCAATTTTGCCTTTTTTTTTTTTTTTTTTTTTTGCGGTACACGGGCCTCTCACTGTTGTGGCCTCTCCCGTTGCGGAGCCCCCTCTCCGGACGCACAGGCTCAGCAGCCATGGCTCATGGGCCCAGCCGCTCCGCGGCATGTGGGATCTTCCCGGACCGGGGCACGAACCCGTGTCCCCTGCATCAGCAGGCGGACTCTCAACCACTGCGCCACCAGGGAAGCCCGCCCTCAATTTTGCCTTTTGGGGTACTGAAAATACTTGCATTTCAGTAGATATTCTTGGTATTGTTTAAGTTCCTTGGAAGCAATATGATCTTTTGGATCTTGATTCCAAACATTTTTAGGTTGAATTATTGCAGCGTTCATTTTAAGGCTAATTTCTCTCCTCCTACTGAGACACAATCATTCCGTATTCTCTACCTCATGCTTCATAAGGATTCCCATTTAAACTGGTTAAAACAGATGTTATTCCATTCTCTACATTAGCCTTGGAAATTGTTTCATTGAATCCTTTTGGGTGTTTCTTTACCCAGCTCTGGTCATTTCCTGCCTGCATGTACAGATTAGTACATGAGGATGTACTAATGTACATGAGGTCATACTTGAGGATGACCCTCTGTATGTTTCTGAAGTTTTCTCTCTCCTGTACTGTGCTCTGTTGGACTCCAGCCACCTTCACAGGCCCAGATTCTAAGTTTTGTCTCAACTCAGGTTGACTTTTGGGGTCTGACTGGACTCAGCATTTTTGTATTAGGGCCTGGAAATTTCTTTTCATAGTAAGCTGGGATGGCCACGTGGCTCACGTCGTTTGTCCTCTTTCATAGGTCATTGTTATTTGCTTGATGTCCAGTGTATTAAGAATCAGTTTCATATATGTTGTAAATTTTTTTCAAGAAAATCTATGAATTCCCCCTAAAGTAGACACTTTGAATAAATTAGTAGAATTGATAACACCTCCAAACCACATCAGAAAAAAAAAGAGAAATCACACATTTACAAATATGAGCAAGGAAAGAAGGTATAGCACTAGATATCTTTGAAACATAATGGGTAATGTGTGATTATTTTATTTTATTTTATTTTTTGGCTGTACCACACAGCATACAGAATCTTAGTTCCCTGACTGGGGATTGAACCCGTGCTCCCTGCATTGGAAGTGTGGAGTCTTAACCCTTGGACCACCAGGAAAGTCCCTGTGTGATTATTTTATTTTATATCATTTTATTATTTTTTTATTATTTTTTTTTTTTGCGGCACACGGGCCCCTCACTGTTGTGGCCTCTCCCACCGTGGAGCACAGGCCCCGGAAGCGCAGGCCCAGCGGTCACGGCCCACGGGTCCAGCCGCTCTGCGGCATGTGGGATCCTCCCGGACCGGGGCACGAACCCGCGTCCCCCGCATCGGCAGGCGGATTCCCAACAACTGTGCCACCAGGGAAGCCCCCTGTGTGATTATTTTAAA